CACGGTCACTGTGGGTCCAGAGAATCTTCGAGTTCAAGTCAATGGTTTTGAATTCAGATTCAGACTCTGCAACTGACTTGGGATTGTAAGCAAAGCTCTCAATGCTTTTAAGCCTCATTTCTTTAGCTATAAAATAGGCAGACCAATCACCCCTGGATGATTATTATGCCCAAATGAGGCAATGTAAGCATGTCTTATGCAACTTCTGGTACAAAGTTCATACTTAATAAATGTCAGTGGAAACAGGATCTTGTCCTCAATTTTCTTGGCTCCAACACTTGACTAAATCTGCTCACTGAAAAGAGGTGTTTAGTGGTGGCAAAGCAATTTGCAAGCTCCAAACTTTAAAGAGACCACCTCAGGGCGCCTGAGGGTGGCTCAGTCGGTTAAGCAAGCGTCCGACTTTGGCTCAGGTCATGATCTCACGGTTCGTGAGTTTGAGCCTTGCGTTGGGCTGTGTGCTGACAGCTCAGAGCCTGGAACCTGCTTCAGATTCTGTGTCTCCCTCTCTCTCAGTCCCTCCCTAGCTTGCACTCTCTCTCTCTCTCTCTCTCTCTCTCAAAAAATAAATAAATAAACATTAAAAAAATTTAAAGAGACCATCTCATAAACTATATTCCAATTCATTTATTGCCCACAGGAGAATCGGCTGGCAGAATAGCTAGTCTCAGAGAATACATTCTCGGGGCCAGTAAAGAACTTATAATCAGTCCAATGAGTATTTGTTGAGTATCTAGCATGTGCCTGGCACACAGTTAGTGTTGGGGATATAGTGGTAGGCAAACCTGGTCCATGCCCTTGATGGTGACATGATGGTAATAAACGTAACTGTAACACAGCGAGATGCTGGTAACAAAAGGTGATACAGAGACAGCACAGAGGAGAGTGAGGAGCTCCAAGGAAGTCAGAGGAGGCTGCTTGAGGGATTACAGCAGGTGGAGAGGGAGGGTGCAGTGGTGCTGGGGGGCTGGGGAGGGCGGCAGCAGCCGCATCAGAGAGGTCCTCTCAATTGGCTACAGAGCTGGGATTTTACACCATAGTGCTCACAGGAGAAGCCAACACCTCGGGCATCAGACAGACCCAGGTTTCAGTCCCCCTCCGCCACTCACGATGTGACTTAGGCAAAACACTTTTGCTCCATGAATCTCCGTTTCTTCATCGGTATAAAGAAGTTACTATTAGAAGTTCCTGCATAAAGTTGTCATGAGAATTAAGTGCAGCTGAAGAATGCACAAGAATTATTATTTTGTTCAATATCTGGCACATAGTGTGTGCTCAATAAATAGTTGCTACTATATCATTGTTACTACTGTCCCTCTTAGCATTATTAGGATAGACCAGTCTTTCAAAAAGGCTGAGATGTGAAGTGCAGGAGGTCTGATAGCAATCAGATTACTCGATGAAAATGTGAAAACGAACTAAAGAGAAAACGCATTGGCTATGAAGAGGTATTTCTACCATCGTATGCTTAGCTCAGAATATGAACACTGACTGACTCCATGGACAAACTCTGAAGTCTCAGTGTCTCAACACAATAGAAGTTCATTTCTCACTCATAGTCCGAGACTGATTTGGGCAGCAATCCCACATGATTCTCCCAGTGGGTGCCCCACAGAACTACGCGCTTCTGTCTTGAGCCTGGCCACATGGGACATGTGGCCTCAAGGTTACTTACTGGAAAAGGGAAAATGAGAAGTGAAAGAGACACATGGACTATGAACTGCCTCACCCTAGATACCACTCATATTTAACTGGCCAATAGGGTCCCAAGCCCCAACCAAACCCCAAAGGAGGCTGGGAAATGAGGACAAGAAGGTGGATACTTGACAAGCACTAGAAGCCTCTGGCACAACCTTCTTGGTTGGTGACCAACCAACCAGGTGACCAGCTCGAGAATTCTTTTCCCCATGAGCCGTGCTGAGATGGCACCAGCACATGTGCCCTCGTCCAAGCAAATAACTTCCCTTTGCCTTTGACCATGTCATGTTAGGCACAGTGCTATAGACCAGATGAGGCTGCACGCTATGGTAATTATATTGAGTTCTCCTTCATGTTTTTAAGGAGATATTGGAAGACTGCTTGGATTTGGGAAATGTAAGTCTATCTAATGGTGAGATAGAGATAACTTGTTCAGTGTGTCTTAAAGCACATTCCTTGAAATGCTGGTTCCTATAAAATATTTGGCCAAAAAGAGGTCTTTATGGTCAAGCAAAAGCTTGGGAAACACGCACACACACACACACACACACACACACACTTTTTTTTTTTTTTTTGGACAAAAACAGTTCTTTATTTCTGATACTGGAATCGGCCTACCTCCCTTTCTTCTCCAGTTTTTTTTTTCAATAACTCATCTATAAAAACATGATATGCTCACATGAGAAAATTTAGAAATGTTAAAAAATAGAGAAAAAACACTTCCCAGTCACCATCTTTGGAAAACACTGAGTTTCGCAGCATCCTTTGGTGTAGCTTTCCTAAGCATAGTGATGGATCTAAAAAGTCCCACAATATGATGCCTGCTTAACCTTTTTTTTAAAAAAAACCCAACAAAGAATCCATCCCCACGCTTTTTTTCTACACGGTACCCATTAATCTCCTAAGAACTACGGTTCCCGGGCAAACGAGAGCCAGTTTAATTGCAATATGTTTGCAAAGCCTTGCTTCAAGGATCCATCCATCCGTCCATCCTTTGTTGTTGAGCTCTTGTTTCAAAGGGTGATGCTTCTGGCTTAGTCTACCAACCCAGGTGTTGGCACTTCCAATGTGAAGCCCTCTTCCCAGACCTCAGCCACCTTTTGACCTGCCCACATCCCCACACATCCCATGCCTTCCAAACCTGGTTGTATCACTTCTGTCTCTCCATAATCTGTAAGGAAGGTAAGCCTGGGGCTTCAAAGGAATTCCTGATTCATCTGGCCAGTCAACCCCTCAAGGGAAGATGAGAAAAGGTCATCCTGCCTGTTCCCTGACCTTGGGCAGAAGTGGCTTGGTTCCAGATGCCTGGGTGTCTCAACTTCTTAGAAAGTGTCCAGAAAAAAAAAGGAGACTTCAAAGGCCTCCTTTGAAACCCAATCCTATGTAAGTTTCTTCTGTTTCAATAAATACTTTTTTTCCTCTTCTATTCTCAATAGTCAGAGTTAATAAACTCTCTCTTGTGCTTGTGGGGGACAAAAACCTGGCTACATTTATGGGGCATAAGAAACAATCTCATGAAACAATGGAAAGCCTAACCTTGAACTTCTCAAAGGGCTTGCTGGTCACCCAGCTTCATTGACATGGCCCCTCTCCTCTTCAGAGGGAATAGACTGTAGTGTCTCCCCTGAGGCAGCATAGAGAGCCCACTCTCTTTTCCACCCAGGACCTTCTAGACTCCTCTATCTGTTTATCTGTGGCTGGCGCCATCTCTATCACTCACCAATGTCCCCACAGCCTTGTTCCCTGTGGGGTGAACACCTTGGCTGTTATTATGCTCTGATTGGTTCAGTGGAGGCTGTGTCACTCAACTACACCCAGGTACCATCTGGCCATTCCACGAGGGTTCCAAGGGGGAGTCCAGGCTCCAGGGTATAACTGAGGGCACAGCAATGAGCCTTGTCCTAAGCACCAGTCTGTTTCACACTCATCCTGAATGTCCCTGGTGCCAAGGCTGGGACTGAACACCAGTGAGCAGGGGAGGGAAGGGTTAATCCAGAAGGACCTGCTAATCTGATGGTGGAAATGGGACACATACTCAGGACTCAGACAGACTGAGCAATAAGAGTGATGAAGCAGAAGCCTACCAGGGTGTCAGAAGGGCATTATGGGAAGGGAGTGAGAGTGGGGGAGGGGCAGAGACAGACTCCCAAGCCCACTCAGGCTGTCAGTGCAGAGCCAGATACCGGGCTTGAACTCACCAACTGGGAGATCATGACCTGAGCCAAACCCGAGCTGCAGTCAGCTGCTTAACCAACTGACACACCTGGGTGCCCCTGAGAGGGGCCGATTCTAACAGAAGAGAAGAATTAGAGGCAACTTAAGTTGGAAAAAGGAAATTGGGTTCGATTGGAAAAGATACTCTTGAACTTACTTGGAATGAAGTTCTAGAATCTAGTTCTTAGTTTTTCAGATTGGAGGAGTCTTCCTCAGCCCTTCTCGACTTGTTCTTAATCATCAGTCACATTTTGATCCAGAATCAGAAATGCCAAGGCAGCAAATGTCCCGATCAGGGGTTCCTTGCATGGGACGAATGATCATCTTCTGCTATCAAAGTAAAAGAAAACACGCAAATCCCACGAAAGACCATCTTCCTAAAGCTTTCTTGTTCCATCTCCTCTAGCATCTCCCTCACTTTTATTCCAGAAATGTTTTTGGAGAACCCTTTTAGCTCTGGCCCAAAGTCCTCACCCTCCACCTCTTGTGACCAGAGCTCCCACTGGCCTTAACTTTGTCACTGTGTCTGATCTGTGCCTCAACAGACGTAGAATTCCTTGTAGACAGACCAGAAATCTCCACCCTCTGGGACTTCCTTCCAGTACTCAGGTCAGAGCCGTCTTTATCCAGAAGCCTTGGGAAAGCAGTGGCCCACAAGCTAAGGATGATTCTCTGGAATATTCTTGACCCTGTTCATGTCCTTCGGAAGCAGAACCTGCCTGGCCATCTGCTCCATTGTACCACACCCCTCCACCTCTAAAGGGTGTCTCCCCCCAACCCCAGCCAGACCCACTGGAAGCTTCCACCACAGATCTTGACAGTGATAACCCCAGTAATTGGAGGACAGCAAGTGAAGATAAGGTAGCCAAATTATTATAATGCAGGAGGTGAGCAAACCAAATGCGGGGTTCCGAGCCATTTTATAGGGGATTCATGGGGAGTTCACGGTTGGAGGGAGAGGGGGGAGACAAATCTCAGGGAGAGGTGGTAATCTCCTATACGGAGAGGCCCCAGGTGGCTAATAGGTGTTCCCGACCTACAAATTAGGCTGCCTCCAGCCTCCTATTTAAGGGGCTGGGGGCGAGCCAGGCCGACCAGCGCAGCCGCCCTCCGCGCCCCTATCCCGCGTTCCGCACGCGCCCGCACCCGGTCCCCACAGCATGAGCCGCCAGCTGCACCAGCGCCCCGCCGGGGAGCGCCCCAGCTTCAGCGGCTGCTCGGCCGTCATCGCGGGCCGGGTCAGCGGCAGCTCCGCCTCGTTCCGGGCCGGCGTCAAGAGCACGGCGGCCTTCGGCAGCCGCAGCCTCTTCAGCCTGGGGGGCGGCCGGCGCCTGGCTCTGTGCGCCGCGGCCGGCCGGGGCGGCGCCTACGCGCTGGGCCACTGCTCCGGCACCGGCGGCCGGCTGGGCGGCTTCGTGGGCACCGTCTTCGGCAGCGCCGGGCTGGGGCCCGCGTGCCCGTCCGTGTGCCCACCCGGCGGCATCCCTCAGGTCACCGTCAACAAGAGCCTCCTGGCCCCCCTCCACGTGGAGCTGGACCCCGAGATCCAGAAGGTGCGCGCCCAGGAGCGGGAGCAGATCAAGGCGCTGAACAATAAGTTCGCCTCCTTCATCGACAAGGTGGGTCCTCAGGCATCTGTGCGGCCTTGCGTTGGTGACCAGTGTGCACCGGGGTGCTGGCTCTGCCACTGACAGCTATGTGAAAACTTGGGCCAGCCGGTTATCCTTTCTGGGCTTCCCTTGGCTCCTCTGTAAAATGGGCACACTGTGGCTCTTACCCCGCATGAGGATGTGAGGGTGAATTGGATGTTTCTAAAGTGCTTGGAACAGTGCTAGGCACCCCCACCCCCCGACCCACGACCCATGGTAAACAGAAGCTTCATTTTATCCTTGTGGACAAGACCCGGGGTCGGAACGGGGGTGCGCCACAGGCAGGAGACTTGTGAAATGGCCCTCTGAGAGCTCTCAATTATCACACAAGGAGATGGGTGCATATATCCAGGACAGGAGCACAAGAGGGACACTGACCAGGGAGTATCACAGGACGTGATGCTTGGTGAAGGGAAAGGACTTAACAAAGTAGGAGGTAGGATGGGGGTATAAGCCAGGAAGGTGTCTAGAGGAGAGGAAAGAAAAGGACCAGAAAACTGAAAGCTGGGGCTGGGGGGGGGGGGGGGGGGAGAAGGGAGATTGAGAAGGAGGGCATGTTGAGTTACAGGTGTGCATTCTCTATGTGTCTGTGGGGATGGGAGCATGCGGAGGTTAAAAGGGAAGCTGTCTCTGGTGACTCAGAGGCAGTGACCCCAAAGAATGAAGAGGAGAGAAGGAGTATGCTTCTGTATCCAACCTGGGGCAGAAGGTCTAGGCCATGAGTCACAGGGGACATAATACTGACAAGAGCTGACGTTACTCAGTGCCCGGTGCTGTCCCAAGGGGTTCCCATAGATCAGCACACAACCCGTGATTGTGTTATCATTCTGCCTTGCGGATGAGGAAACCAACATGGCAGGAGGCCAGTAAACATGCCCAGGCTGATAGAACAGCAACAGAGGACTGTGTCCCTCACCGCTGTGCTCAGGAAGAGGAAGGAGGTGGTTGGAGGGGAGAGGGAAGGACTGGAAGCAACAGAGCTACTGTCCCAGAGGACAGGGCTCATTTTCCTGTTCAAAGTCTGTTCTTCCCCCTCATGTTTCTTTCTCTCCCTCAAGCTAGAGGTAGGGAAGAAGAGGAAGGCTAGCGCGTAGCAGAGGCTTGAGGTTATTGAGCCCAAACATGTAAGACTTTTGGTCAAGTATGAAGGAGCCTTCTAAAGATGTGAGAACCCGCTTTGAAACGAAAACCGAAGAAACCAACCAAGAGCAACTTAGGTTGCAGAGAAGAGAGAACGTGTTAATGGCCAGAGTGACTTTCCAATGCCATTTCCCCACCCCTGCACTGTTCCTCCCTTGCTTCCCATCTTCCTTCACTCTGAAAACACCAGCATTTACAGCAAAAGAAGCTACTTCCATCGCACGATAACTCACGGTGGCAGTTACAGCACTGCGTAAGCGACTTCCCGATTTCTTTTAGACTCAATCTGATTTCTCGTCTTGGAGACCCAGAAAGGCACGTCCCCCTGGCCGAATCCATTCTCTGATGAGTCTTGCTCTTTCCTCCCTCCCATCCAAGACCGACTGTATCTGATTTCTGGGGCCCTCTCCCCCCACTGTGGAGAGGCAAGAACAGAAGGGGGATTCTGTGCTATGACCACCTTTGGGTTCCAGGTGCGGTTCCTGGAACAGCAGAACCAGGTGCTGGAGACCAAGTGGAACCTGCTGCAGCAGTTAGACCTGAACAACTGCAGGAAGAACCTGGAGTCCATTTATGAGGGCTACATCAGCAACCTCCGGAAGCAGCTGGAGACACAGACAGGCGACAGGGCGCGGCTGGACTCGGAGCTGAGAAGCATGCAGGATTTGGTGGAGGACTACAAGAAGAGGTGAGTGGAGAGGCGGAGAATCCGCCACTGGAGGGTCTTGATGACAGATTGAGGTTTCGATTTGCAGCCAGCATTTTTGCCTTCTTAGGTCCTTTGCGGATACCATGTGCGATTGATTTCCTTTCCCCTGGGGAGGGAGGGAGATCCAGACAGGTTGAGACACAGGAAGAGAAAGGATCTCTACCCAAAGTGGTGCCCTGAATCGCCTAGGAAATGGTGTGCCCATTCTCACATTGGAAATGGAGACATGGGGACAAGAGGGCTGTCTCAAAACCAGATGGACAGCCCAGGTGGCACTGTAGCTCCTCCTGTGTGAGGGGCCTTCCACGGGAGTACCTAGGATGTGAGCCATCACGCCAATCCCAGAGCAAAACCTAAAGCTGAGCGAACAAGGGTTTTAAAAACTTTTTTCATGCCGCGGCCTACCTGTGCTGCTGAATCCCATTAATTTCCCCCAGGCTTGAGCCATCCCGGCGCAGTGTGATCTGGTATTTTGGAAGCTGGCTTTCAGGTGCCAGGATCTCTAGGGAAAGATGACTCCTTCCACAATTCGAGGGGATGGAGGTGGTCAGAGCCAAGTGCTTTCTCTTGCTCCATGTTCAGTCTGCCTGTCCACCCCTGTTCTGAAGTAGCCCCAAGCAGAACTCTGCCCTGAGACCTGCGTGGAGTCCTGAGGGAGGAGGTGGCATAGTCTATAGTCCTGAAAGCACACAGATGATGGGGACAGGCTTAAAGAACACGCTCAGAGAGCCCCCCAGGCAGTGGAAATGAATACAGTGTGAACTGAGACTGAGTGGCGTTAAGATGGAAATGCCACCCCATTGGATATTTGGGTAGAATTCTGGAGGAAAAGAGGGGATTTCCAGGCAGAGCCCAGAGGTCCAGGTCAGAAGCATCCAAAGATCATGCTGCCTCTGGGCTTTTCAGACCAGGGAAGCCATGGTGTTCTGGAGTCACCACCATGACCATGAGTCACTCAGTCCTCTGAGAACTTCAGCTTTAATATTTATAAAATTCAGATACTGCTGCCTGCCTCGCCACTTGCACGAGCTGTTGAGAGAGGGTAATGCCAGAAAGTAATGTATTCACAGCTCTTAAAAGAACCAAAGTGGGGCGCCTGGGTGGCGCAGTCGGTTAAGCGTCCGACTTCAGC